CACGCTAGTCCTCGGCCGAAGGCCTTCGGACTAGCGCCGGTAGGGCCCTGTAAATTACTCGAAGGTATATAGTCAGACGGTCCCCAGGACCTAGCAGAATTCACCATGTTCCTCCGTTGAGTCACAACTACCACCGTGCTCAGTCACGTGCAAGAGCATCTCAGGTTGAAGCAGCGAGGCTCAGGACCACGCTCACAAGCCACCAATTAACCATAGGTCTCCAGCCATCCCGTTACATTGGACACGAGCTGTCGCCCGCAAGGTAGGATTCGAGGGAACCATTGCGGCAGGATCGGCAAAGATGAAGGATCCCCGCATGGACCACATAGGCTTTGTCTGTTGGGCGCAGCGTGTGCCATGGCCATTGCACGAGTCCCAGCTCAGCAAATGGAGATTTCGCAGACTTCGTCGCTGTCCCCGGAGCCTTCCAGAGCAGACTGAGGATAGCTGTGGATAGGTACTTTGGATAGAAAACGTCGCCTCCTGACAGCGCCAAATTCGGTCTCTCTACGCGACGCGACACTTTGTTGCCCCTAAAATACAATGGCCACCGTCATCACCGAACTACACTCGGGTTGGCAGTGCAGACAGTCTGATGATACCTCTAAGAACGCATGGCTCCCGGTATCGAAGGTTCCAACCACAACGCATCTCGTTCTCCAAGAAAATGGAAAGTACGTCTGAAGATCATCGAGCACGAAGTCAATATTTCTCAAACTCACAACTCTCACCTAGGATTCCGGACCCCTTTATCGACATGAATGAACTGGCTGTACGATGGGTCGCAGAGAAGTCCTGGACCTACAAGACAAGTTTTAGCACCCCGACAGATAGACAGCACGATGCGAGGACGGACTTGGTGTTCGAAGGCCTCGACACCTTTGCCACGGTATCTCTCAATGGCCACAAAATCCTCGAGGCCGACAACATGTTCATCGGATACCGCGTCGACGTGACACCTTTTCTCTTACAGCCTTCTTCCGAAGACGATCCCACTGACCCAAATGTCTTGGAAATTGTCTTTGAATCGGCCCTCCTCCGTGGCCGCGAGCTCGTCAAACAGCACTCACATGAACACGATTTCATCGCTCATCAGACAGAGTCGAGCAGGCTCCCTGTGCGCAAAGCACAGTGTCATTGGGGGTGGGACTGGGGTCCTATCCTGATCACTTCCGGGCCGTGGAAGCGCGTTTCTCTGGAAACATATCTTGTTAGAATCGACGACGTCTGGTTTCAGGGAGAGGTGAGTGAGGATCTGAAGGTGGTGAACGGGAAGTTGTTCGCCAGTGTAGGTAGCGGCAAAGGGAACATGGGAGAAGACAGCATCGTCAAGCTGTCAGTATCTCGCGACAAGGCCGTGTATGAGGTGGACGCGCACGTCAACAAAGATGGCATTGCCACGGCAGAGTTTCGACTCGAAGACCCGGCTCTTTGGTACCCTCGTGGCTATGGGAGCCAGTGCCTCTACGAGCTCCGAGCGAAAATATCCACACAGGAGGGCGGTCTTGTCTCCAAATCCAGATCGATCGGCTTTCGACGATGTCAACTCATCCAGGAGCCGGACGAGTTTGGCAAGTCGTTCTATTTCCGCATCAATAATGTCGACGTCTTCGCGGGCGGGTCCTGCTGGATTCCTACGGATTGCTTCCTCCCGAGAATAGGTGCGGACGGGTATAAGAAGTGGATGGAGCTGATGATCGAGGGTAACCAGATCATGACCAGGTATATTCGATGGCTGACCCAGTTCTGGTTTCCGATGCCCAATTATTTGTTTGTCTCTGTGACTTGCCTTGATCTGCTCATACTGCATTTGCCCGAGTTACTTCTAACCAAATGAACACGTCCCAGAATCTGGGGCGGAGGAATCTACGAAGACGACTCGTTCTACGAGGCCTGCGACACGCTGGGCATTCTCGTCTGGCAAGACTTTTGCTTCGCCTGCGCCAGCTACCCCACGTATCCATCCTTCCTCGGCCAAGTCGAAGAGGAAGCGCGCTTCAACGTCCGACGACTCCGCTTGCACCCGTCGCTGGCCATCTGGGCCGGGAACAACGAAGACTACCAGGTCCAGGAGAAGCACAACCTGGAATACGACTATGACGGCGACAAGGACCCGCAGTCGTGGCTCAAGACCAGTTTCCCCGCGCGGTACATTTACGAGTATCTCCTGCCGAAGATCGTGCAGGAGGAGAGTCCAGGTGCGGTGTATCACCCGAGCAGTCCGTGGGGCGACGGGAAGAAGACGTGGGACCCGACCGTGGGAGACATTCATCAGTGGAATGGTCAGTATATCTTTTTACACCTCTCCTCCAAGAAGGCAGACCTCTATTTCTACCATCTCGTCGGGACGCAAATAACTCCATCTTCCATTCTTTTTGCCCTTCATCCAAAAAAGATTAAAAACGCTCATTGCCATTCCATCCATCGTCATCTGATCTTTGTTTAGTCTGGCATGGCTCCATGCGCCGATATCAAGAAATTCCCAGCATGGGCGGGCGCTTCGTGAGCGAATTCGGCATGGAAGCCTACCCGCACATGTCGACCATCGTCTCGGCCATCGCCACGCATCCCCAGCAACAGTACCCCGGCAGCATGACCATGGACTACCACAACCGGGCGATCGACCACGAACGCCGCCTCCTGACGTATGTGGCCGAGAACTTTCGGATCAACTATGACTTGGGGGCGTTCACGCACCTGACGCAGGTCATGCAGTCGGACGCTGTGGGATTCGCGTACCGCTCCTGGCGTCGCGAGTGGGGGGTCTCGTCGTCCTCGAATGCAAAGAAACTGAGAAAGTGCGGCGGCGTGCTCGTGTGGCAGTTCAACGATACCTGGCCGACCATGTCGTGGGCGGTGGTCGACTACTTCCGCGTGAAAAAGCCCGCCTTCTACGCCATCAAGCGCTCCCTGACGCCGCTGGCCGTGGGCGTGAGCAGGCCGTTCCACGAGTGGACGTCGGGACATGTGGATCCCACGCGCGCGGCCACGGACGGGACATGTGACGTGTGGGTGTGCAGTTCGCGCAGCGAGGATGTCACCGTGGACGTGGTCGTGCGGGCCATTTCCATCAAGACGGGGCGGGACGTGGTCGAACCGATCGTGAAGCGAGGCGTCGTGGTCAAGGCGAATAGCACGACTGAGATCCTTCAGGGGAGAAACTTGTCCGGTGATACTGCTGGTCCTGGTGATTCTACCCGGTTAACAACAACCACCGAGGGATCGTCGTCGCCGTCCTCCCCGCCCTTCGACACGAATACATGGGACCCGTACATCATCCACGCGTCGCTCCTCGTGGACAACCGCGTCGTGAGCACCGACACCGCCTGGCCCCACCCGATCAAATACCTCGATTTCACAACCACGCCACGAGACGTCGTTGTCAGCATCACCACCAGTCCCTCCTCACGCAACACCAGCACCAGCGAGAGCGCCAACACGACCAAGACAGTCGCCACCGTGACCATCACCATCACGGCCTCCCGCCCCGTCCACGGCTTCGTGTTCCGCGAATCCCGCGACGGCCCAACCTTTAGCGACAACGGCTTCGACCTCGTGCCGGGGGAGGAGGTTGTTGTCGAGGTGTTCAGTGCAGGCGCGGAACCTCTGAAAGAGGAGGCGCTTCGGTGGACGTATGTCGGGGCCGAGAGCGCGTGTCTGGGTCTTGGGCTTGGGAGTCAGAACGGGAAATAAGGGAATACGAATGGGTAAGGGAGTGAGTGAGTGAGTAAGTGAGTGAATGGTTCATGTATGACCAAGGGAATGAGGAGAGATATATGTTTTGAAGGGCTCGAGAAAGCGCCTCTTTCTATTGTTTTTTGCCTCGTGTCGCTCCTTTCCTTGCGTTGCCTGCCTTGCGTTGCCTGCCTTGCGTTGCCTTGAGATGCATGACCAGCCTGAACGACTTGAGTCGAGTCGAGTCGAGCCTGATGCGTGTTGTGCGATGCGTGAAACGGAGGCACCCGGGGAATTCTTCTCGTCCTTCTCATGAGCAACCAACCAACTAACATCCTCCCTCCACCCCGCGCAAGAAAGGTATGTGGGTGTCCACAAGTCTCGACGGTTGAGGATAGGATATTTAAATCGACCCGGGCATCTTCTCTCCAAAGCTCTAGAGATTCACACAAACACACACACACACATGGTTAGAAATTGTCTCAAACTCATCCAATTCCAATGCAAATCCAATGCAGTAAATCACACTCGTGTGATCACACTATATATATATATATATATAACTACCTGAAGAAGGAATTTCCAACCGTAAGAAATACGTACGTACGTACCTTGGTCTTGTACTGGACGGCGCCCTCGAGCGGCTTCTCCCAGCTCTGCCGCTGAGAGGCGAATGATTCCCATTCCGGGACGGGGAGTTTGGGGTACTGCGCACGCACACACACGCGCACACACACGCGCGCGCGATCAGGTCAGCGCTTGTGCAGAGGGAGCGGCAGAATGCGAAAGAGCGAGTATCCCTCCCGCACTCGACACTTACCAGTCCTAATTTCAGAACCACCTTGCCCTTGTACAGCGGCGTGACACTCATGATGGGCACGCCGCACGTCTGGCAGAAATACCTATTTTCCACAAAGGACGGTGGGGCGTTAGTTCTGTCTGTCCAGGACCTTTTTTTTTTTTTTGTTTTTCTGGATTCTTGTCCTCCCCAGCCTCCCTGAAAATGCTTGGCTATCGAAACCCTTACCGTTGCAACGGGGTCCCGCTGAGTGTGTCCGGATCCTGTCGTCGGGAGGAAATTGTCCCTGTTAGAAGCAGAGTGGACAACAAGACAATCTGGAGAGCGGGGATGGTACATAAAGATCATAGTGGTGGTGGTGGTGGTGGACGACGACGAACAGTGTACACCTTGAGATTGCCTTTGCCTCTGGGGAACTCGACCTTTTCTTCCTCGATGGTCAGGTTGGCGCCGAAGCTGTTGATCCCATAACCCCAGGACTCGGTCAGTAACACGGTACGTCTCCTCGAGTTGGTGTAGGCACATGCATCTCAGAGAGAGACATATGAGAGAGATATGGATCACTGGTGGACACTGAGGATCGCCCACTTACATGCCACCAGCCACCTTGCGACAATTGGCGCAGTGACAAAAGTGACCCCGGCGCTGTTCGCCAAAGAGGTTGTCATCGTTGACCTTGACGGCGACAGCTGGGCAGCAAAGTATCAGCGAGCCATGCATATAACAACCTCCGCGCCAGATATGTCCGCAGCACGTGCCATGGCAAGCCACCAGTGACGTACATACCTTTGCAGAGGCATTCTCCTTCCATCTTCTCGTCGGAATCTCTGGGGTTGGTTTGTTGCTTGGTTGCTTGCTGTTAAGGTCCTCAAGTGATCTTTCGTCGGAGATGCGGAATGTGAAACATTCGGTTGGGGATTGCATTTCATAATTCTGAACCCTGGCTTGCCTGGTCCTTCCCCTTTCCAATCGCTGTGATGCGGGGAGAATAATACCTCCCAAACACCCAGATTCGGTAATAGGCAGCGAAGCGGGTAATACAGAGGCGGGGTTGCAATACGCGGTCATATCCAGTGTGGAGAGCTCCAAGACCCATGTTTCTGGTTCAAAATCCGTTCAAAGCTTGATGGCACAGGCTGACAACCTGACCTCCTGTGCCAGCCTGATCACACGTCTTCAACTCACCTGCGGCCTCAGTGCCAAGTATCGGGGAAATGGAATCTGACATTGGGCAGCCCTCTGGTCGTTCTCTGGGTAGCTGAGGCAGTCTAGGTTGGCAGCTGGACATGTGGAGGCGAGAGGATAGCGCGAAGATACAAGTGCAAGAATGCTTTCGTGAAGACGGGCACATTCAGGATAACGTCCTGCATAACTCGCAAGACGGTCTGCATCGATCCATTTACTCAGCGAGGTCCACGCGCCAGTCAAAGATTTCAAGGCGGAAACAGGTCCACCGATGGTGACGAACAGGGAGCACCAACTCGAAGATCTTCTCGCCATGTCGGACTGCAGGATGGAAACCGGTAGCTTAGTCCTCGACGATCACAAATGATGCCGTCTATCGACCTCTAGGCCAGGGCCTAGATATACAACCTCCAACAGCTGTCACTCCACAACCAAGGAGGCTGCGGTAGCTCGGCTTCCACCTGAGAATGACGAATCATACCTCCGTGTCCCTGTTGCTACAGAGGCGAAAGTTGAAGAATCGCCGAGAGGATCCTGAGGAGTTTGCGGTTCCGCTTGAGGACGATGTGCAAATCTCGAAACAGGCGGCAAACCTTGAATCACTTTCGAGTCATCGTAGACAGCCTCTGGAGCCGCGATTGGCCTTGGCCTGCATTTTAGACAACCATAACCGAAAGTCATTTGTCACGTAAACCGTCAATAGCAGTCACCCACCAGACTCGGGATACGAGTTTCCAGCGTATGAGCACTTTCGAGACCTCTCACAAATGTCGAGATCCTTGTTTCCGAGAGGGGCCAGAATGCTCTGATCTCGGAGATGGGCAGATGACGTTATACCGACCCTGGCTTCAGCTTATTGAGGGGAAGCCGAGCTCAGCATCCACAGACGAGAGGGACCTTGCCCGAAAGCGGGTATATGTAGGTTCGTCAAAGCTGTTCGGATTGTTCTGGCTCTGCGAACTTGAATAAATGCTGGGTGTGAGCAGCGTCATTGCCGATGACCGGTTGCTGTTCTGCGGGGAAGGTCTGCATACGAGAATCTGCCGGCTCTCTTGTGCTGTCATCCGCGATTCGTCTTTGCTTGCGGGGTGGTCTCAGTTTTGCAGGATAATCCGCAAGGGTTGAGGGGTACGCGTTGGTGGTGGAATGATTTAAAAAGGGGGAGGATTGCATGTGCGAATTCACACCTTGCTGAGCATCCCAGCTCTAACCTAGATAAAGGGAACTCGCCAGCATCCCCCTCCTCCAGCACAAATCTTGCCAAACGCATCATGTCGGTCGTCAGTCAGGTTGTAAGCAGCCTTACGGGCTCCCACCATGAGTATGACCTCGTCGTAGTTGGAAGTGGATTTGCCGTGAGTAGCCGGAGTATTCTTCCAGGGTAAATGGTGCTGACCTCCATGTAGGGTTCTATGACCACATTGAACTTTCTCGAGGAATGCAAAAAGCTCGGGAAAAGGGGTAGAGTTGCATTGATCGAAGCGGGTAAAGAAGGAGAACGATGTGGTGCAAGCAGGTCTGCTAAATGGTCACCTATCAAATGTCAACCATGGACTGAATGGTCTCTAGATGGACAATGGCATACCTGAGATTGGACAAAGGTTTGAGCCAAGCGGCCAGAAGCAACGTGCCTTCATGCGTACTAACTGTTGCAGACAACAACTTTGACTCGGACTGGAAGCATGAAATGAAGGTAGGTGCCATGTCCCTGCGATAAAGGTTCTCGCTGACGATTGTAGCGTGTCAGGTTAGTTTTCCGATGCGACCAGCAAGGCTCTGATACTAACAACATCAGCGAGGGATTGGCAGACCTGGAATATTGCGCAAAAATGGAGAAAGAAGTCCCCGTGACTGCCCAGTATCTGCTTGACCGTTAGTTGATCAACCCTGGACTGGTAGTGGGAGAGACTGACAGATTCCAGATGGGGTAAAACTCAACCATCATGACGAGAAGAATGTGCTCCTGGAGTTCAATACCAGTACGTCGGTGAGCAGATATCAAATGTCCGTCCCCATATTGACAATCTGTTAGATCAGCACTTCGTGTTTCCCGAGGTAAGCTGCGTCACAAGTTGAGTCTGTGAACGTGCTCTGAATGCAGATTCAGGGTGGTGGTCATGCAATTATCAATGCCCTCTTCGACCATATCCGCAAGTTCGATGGTGTTACAATAATGTGGGAGACACAAGCAGAACAGTTGCTGACCCACGATGACGGGTCTGTTTGCGGCGTCAAAGTCCGAAAGGCTGATGGACACATGACAAAAGTCCACGGTAAGAAAGTCATGTTGGCTTGCGGTGGGTTCGAGGGAAACCGTGAAATGTAAGGCACAGAGACCTTCTAAGAAGAACATTGGCTAACGAGGACTAGGTTAGCCAAATATGTCGGACCGAGAACAGAACACCTCGAGCTCATCGCACCGGGCCTCAAGTACAACACCGGCTTCGGTTTGAGGATGGGGTTGGAAGTTGGTGCTGCTGTTGCAGGTTCCATGAGCGGCATGCATGTAAGCGCAGTCCTCATATGTGCCATTCCTCACCGCAGTCCATACTGATCCTGGCTGAAAGTGCGAATTGGTCGACACCCGAGCCAAGAAGCCCGATGCTGTGATCTGGGGCCACAATTATGGTATCGTTGTGAACGAGTGCGATTGTCTTCTTCCAGGCTATGTTCGACTGTCGCTGATTGACACAGAAACTGCAAGCGTTTCTATGACGAAGGCAAACGACAGTGAGACTCCCGATATTCCCGGTTGGAAACAGCCGCTGACGTGGACAGCCTCTTTGCGACGTTCGAGATGATTGCCCTTGAGACCTGGAGAGGTAAGTCATGGAAGCCAAAGGTTGAGCAACTGCTAACACGGGGTAGACCATAACCAGAAATCATACTTGTAGGCCTATCTCAGCTACATGGCAACTGCTTACTGACAGGATCTCAGCATCACTGACAGTCCGATCATGGACCGCTTCCGCCCAGGCTGGGTCTATGACACCACTGACCAAGAGCCCGAGAAAAGTGAGACCATCGAAGGGTTGGCCGAAAAGCTCGGACTGGATCCGAACGAGCTGAAAAAGACAGTGGATGAGTATAACGCGGCGTAAGTCTTCGAGACAGGCAGATTATCAGATGTCGCTAACCCTGATGCAGCATCAACGACAAGGAGTTCAACCTGATGGCACTTGATGGCAAGAGGACGCACGGGTATGAACATAACGAATATTGTAAAGATTGTGATAACTGATACTTTCGCAAGTCTCAATCCCGACAAGACCAACTGGGCCAACCCTATCACCAAACCCCCTTACTACGGGTGAGTGATCTTTCTGCAAACAGACGGGGTGAGGCAAAAGCTTACGGTTCTCAGATATCCAATGAAAGGTAGCATCGATCATGACGGGCGATGCTGGGTCTTTGCTGATAAGTAATAGCACAACTAACCTTCACTTATGGTGGACTCAAGTGCGACCTTGACTCGAGGGTGCTTTCGACGACTGGCGTTCCAATTCCAGGTAAGAGACAGAGCCCAGCATTGACTTTCCTGGCTGACCGACTACAGGCCTGTACTGTGCCGGGGAGTTGAGCGGCTTGTTCTATAACGAGGTGAGTCCATTCTTTCGACGTAAAAGCCTTGATGCTGATCCAGATGCAGTGTAAGTTCTCCAATGCGCCTCCACCGTGGACCCCGATCTGCAGAATCCACGCATAGAAATCCTGCAATCACTGTGATCGGGTTGACAGTTTGACGGACGCTAAACACTGTAACAGATCCGCCCGCAACGAGTGTCCTCCGCTCGCTCACTTTTGGCCGGATTGCTGGTCGCGATGCTGCTCAGGCTCTGTAAAGGAGAGAATAAGAGACGCAACGAGTTTGTAGTGGAGGATTTGACTGAGGTGCAAGACTGTGGAATGGCAGAAAGTTATTGTAGGCAAAGGAACAGTTCATAGCTCTGAGAATGATGAAAGGTTGGAACGCGATGTCGTGAGCCGTGGAAAACACCTCGCTAAACTTGCCTTTTGGTGAACGCGTTCAAAACAATCTTCAGCCTCGTCCAGCCTTGCCCGTCTCACTGTACATCCTTGGCTGTGACAACCACCAGCAACAACATCTTCACTCGCCAAGCGGCCCTCAAAACACGTCCAGGACGTTCCTGATACCCACTCCTGCCAGTCGTGGATACATATATATTGCAACATCCAGATACCTTCCAACATTCGACCGTGCGATATGGCGAACACCTCCCTAACCTTCTTGGTTGATCAGGTCTTCTCCACAATCCAGGTTGCCAAGTGACTGTACCGGCGTATTGGCTGAGTAGGGGCTCTACTCTGTATCCCCTAATGCATAGCCTGCGATTTCCGTGTACAGGATCTAGTAGCCTGGGTTGTGTAGGGGTCCTGTGAGAACTTGAAGTGTTAGGGGGTGGGAGCAGCAACATTGAGCCAACCGAATGAGAAGCAAAAAAAACCTGAGAGGGTTTTCTCACAACTCTGAGTTTTTTGCAATTTGTATCGGAGGTCATGGGAGAGAGCGGAGGGGGTAGAAGAGTGGGTGAGAAAGTCAAAATCTTGGGTTCAATCCTTGACACTGGACGCTCAGTTTTCTTTTTGATACAAAAATTGTGAGGACGACATGAATACCTCGTGCAAGACACGCCAAGCCAACAATGTGAACCAGTCTCTTTGGCACTGGGCGTGCTCCTCATAGCGCGGTATGTTTGTTTTGGGGGTTGCCAGGGAAGTCTCACACATGTCATATATACCAAGCTGCGTACCACGACGGATATACTGTGCGGCCTGTTCGTGTTGGCAATCATAATGAACAGTAAAGGGTCAAACGAAGAGAGGAATGGACTGAAGAAGCCAGAATTAGCTTGATGATTCTATTAGGGGTAATTGTCGTACGCATGCTCTGCCCAGATATTCCGTATCTATCCCAGTCATGGCTTTACCCTTGAGATGAAAGGATGCTTCAACGCATCGTTGGGTGTGATGCGCTTCTCCGGCCGCAAATCTAAACACCTATCCAGTAGATCCACAAACAGATCCAGCTCTTTGCGCTCCTGTTCGTTCATGCGCTTGTCCTTCGGGACCAACCGAGATCTCAAATCTCTGACTGGTTTTGGCTTGATGTCCATCACTTTGATTATCGTCCGACCTGTAACTTTGTCTGTCTCTTGAGCTCGAAAATTGAGGAGATCGTCAAAGTATTCATACGTCAGAGTTCCACGCCTGAGAAGCTTGTGCGGAAATTTCCCACGACACTCCATGATCGCGCGAAGCATGCCGTTGTTGTTGCGGCCTGTAAACAAGATCTTTCCCGTGTACAGTTCGAAAAGGGTACATCCAACTGACCACATGTCAATGCCATAGTCATAAGGGATGCCCAGGATGACTTCAGGAGCCCGATAGAAACGAGACACTAGATATGGCGCAGTGGCATTCTCGGTGATGGGAGACGCAGATCCCAAATCGCAGATCTTCAGCGCACTCCTGGCTTCGTTGACAAGGATGTTGTCTGGTTTCAGATCAGCGTGTATGTATTGACATTTCTTCAGCAAGCTCAATCCCCAAAAGAGTTGCTGTGCGTATGCTCGGATAGCCTTGAGATTGATGCCCACATCCCTGCCGAATTTTTTGAGCACTTCCCGCAGGTTCATGGAGAGGTTTTCAAAAACCATACAAAGATGACCTTTATGATCAAACGATCGTTGAAGACGAATGATGTGCTTCTTGTCTTCTGGGTCATTGGCAGCAATGTCTTTCAGAATGTCAATTTCTTTGATTCCGGCTTTTCGCATGGTTTCGTTGTTCCGAACAATTTTGATCGCGACCGCTTTGCCAGTTCGTCTATCAGTCGCTCGAACGACAGAGGAGAACATGCCTCTTCCCAGATTTTGTGTGACATGGTAACGGTCCTCGATCAGCTCACCAAGGATTGTTATGTAATACCCTTCGGGATCATCCCAATTGTCCATGAGGTTGACATCCAGGGCTTGCGCAGTCTTAATCTCTACTTTGGGCTTCATAGGAGCTTCGGCAAACATATCGTCTTCATCCTCATCGGCAAACATGTCAAACTCACCAGTCGCCTTGGGAGGGGGAGGGGCCGCCTTGTCGTCAGCTCCGGTTACTGCTTGGTCTGCTTGCTCGAGAGATTTCTCGTCTTCCTTGAAGAGACGTTTTTCATGTCGCGCTCGTTCCTCTTCCATGTCCACGGTAGGGTCATAGTCGGCAGCTGAAGGGCCGTCTTCGACCGGAGATCTTCTATCAGTGTTAGTCAGATCTGCATCATTATCGAACTTGATCTCCGCTGGAGACTGAGGAGCAGACAGATCTCTTGGCGTACGAGGTGAGGACGAGCCGGGGGATTCTGGTGATATTAGTATAGAACCAGGACGGACGGTAACAGGGAACATACCGGATCGGCGTGGCGTTGTAGTATAGCTTTCCGGGGCAGGACTTGCCGGCGTCGACTCAGCCCCAAGATGAAGTGCCTGAACCAATAGCGGTGGAGCTTGACCACGATATTTGTTCTTTATAGCTTCACGACGTTTGCGCCGTTCTTCAATCAGAGCAGCCTCATCTATAATTCTGGGCTCTTCGATCTCAACGGTGGTGGCGCCAGCGGATACCGCCGTGTAGGTTTCGGTGTGATTCTTGTCCTGTCTGTGTCCAGTAGCTTCAGATCCTGGCGCAGGCACCAAGTTAGAGGTGACGTCGTCTGTCGGAAGGTCATGCGAGGGTGTGGATTGTGAAGTTCTCATGGTCGCATCCTTTTCCGGCTGATCATCCGCATGTCTGGAGTTGGACTCAAACCTGCTACCTTGGTCTCGAGTATTTGTAGAGCCATCCATTCCTTCCTCTCTGCGACGAGAGTGCCTATATGGAGACCGACTCCTGCTGCGACTTCGAGAGGTTCGCGACCGCTTTGAGTGTCGTTCGTAGGATTCGTGGCGTCGATGACGGAAGGCATCATCCTCGTACCTCACAGAGATGGAGCGCGTATCATGATGGGATCTGTTTCTCGCATGGTCATAGTCGCGGGGGCGCTTCTCACCTCTCGAAGCACGGTAAGGCGATCTCGAGCGTGATCGATGCGATCTAGACGTAGCGCTGTAGGGAATGGAAGATGGTCTGGCACGACGGTCAATCTTGCTGTTATTGCGGAAAGATGGTATATTCTTTGCCTTCGCTTCCGAGTCTGACGTCAAGATTTCGCCCTCAGACTGGCTGGGTGATCTTGAACCCATGGTGGAGTGGTCGACTTGCAGGCCGGGAACGAGACCTAGCCTTTAGTTGTGATAAGAGCGTTAGCCAGCAGATTCTGGTATGGGAAAATTTGCAGTTGTAGAGCCCGACCGGTGTCGTCCCACAAAAGTCCTTCTCAAATCGCTTTCGAAAGCATTCCACTTTTGGCAGAAAAGATACTGGTGAATCAAATTGACCGAACCGCAAGATGAAGATCGAGGTGCGAAAGCCCGAGAACGATGAAGTGACGTTGTAGCGGGAGGTGTAGAAGTGACCTGAAGCACTAGTCATCATATTCTCCATAGAGCACTTAAAACCGGCGCAGGTGCTAGTGCCGCCTCGCCACCAAACAACGCCCGTGGATTCAAGTCCTTGGCAGCGAGTGGCAACCCACCCACCGCCCATCCAACGCAACTCACTACATCAAGAGCATCGTCAATAAGCGCAAGAGTTCCTGATAAATTGTTCTACAAGGGTAGGAAGTATCACAGGTCAATCGCAAGATGTGTCGGTACGCCTACCTGTCGCACATGAGAGTTCGCTAACGCCCATGCAGCTGCTTATGTTAAAGGGAGTCCGTTGGGGTACCCGGTTCCAGTAGGCTTGTAGTGCCAGCCTTGTTGGACAGAATTGTGAGTCTTCCCGCAATCTAGGGCGATGACAGTGTGCTAAAGAGAGAAGCGCTTTCCGTGACTTCGCGGATCCTCCGTCTGCTCCGTCTGCTCTACCCTGCGACTGGACTTGGTCCAAGTCGTGTACGTTTTGTTCTCGTGCGCGGCCTGGTGCTGGTTGCGTTGCTGTAAGTGTGTATCAAGCTAGAATCAAGTGAATACTAAACCAATAGGTCCCTGTGAATCTACAGGCCGGTTGTCGTGAACTACAAGTACTCATTGAGAGAGCAGTTGCTGTCGCTGGAGGTGGGGCGGCTGTCCCAGCTAACCAGGTGTACGTGTTTCCGGTTGATGTGTTTGAGAATCTCTAATTGTGATTACAGGGATTGGCTGAAGTCCCAGGCTCAGGGACTTGAAGTCAAGTTTCAAAAGGCTAACCGAGCCTGCAAGGTTGGCAGCAACAACGGACTCTCCAAGCTTGGGGAAGTGTGGCAATTACCAGATCCCCCGAAAGACACATTTCATAGCTTGAAGATGCCTTTCCAGCAGAAAGAATTCTCTCAGCCGCCACATCCACCAGTCGGGACACCCGAGAACTCAGAGACGGCAAAGCCTTGGTACAACGTTGCACCTGGAATCTGGGAACTGCATCTAAATGGTGAGAAGAATTCAGAACAGAGGGCTGTTCTACAGTGGTGGGAGCCGAATGCGGTATCTGCCACTGACGAGGCAATAACCCATACTTATATCGAAGAAGTGTGTATTGTTCAGGGAGAACTCGAGGATGTGACACTGGGGCAAGCTTGGTCGACAGGTGCATACGCATATCGCAATCCGGGCATGGAGCACGGCCCATACAAAGCTTCGGCATCAGGTTGCCTGATGTTTGTCAAGGTGCTTCCTGGGAGCAAACCCGGGTATTCACTCGACTGAGGCCTAAAACTAGGAGAATTGCTCTCTCGAAGGGATTCAACGCTGTCATTTGCCGCCGAGAAAGGACGGAGATACAACGCATCGACGTCCTGCCAGAAGCCCTGCACGAGGAGACAATGGATAGGAGATCAAACACTGAACAGGGAAGGAATGAAGTCACCACTGGCTGCTCAAGATAATACCCGGGACCGTTAGTGATTGTCTCACCCATCGAAACCTCAGCCCAGCGAATATCGCCATCACTCATAGTCGTCTCAACGCCCTTGGCCTTGGGAACCAAGTACAAGTTACTTCGCGAACAAGCCCGGTAACCTGACCTGAATACAGAGGGAATGCCTCATGCCAAAGGCACGGCAGTGGCGATATCCAGTCCTGATCTGAAGAGGTGATTGCCGATGGCTCCACCTCTGATAGCAACCGAGAGAAGTGACATAGCGAGCATAGAACGGAATGATGTTTGCCGCGACAGCCATAGCAATTCGCCGTCTCTTGTCCCCTCACGTTTGTCTCGAGCTCATGCACAAACAGAAGTGTAAACGAGATCCGCAAACGAGCACCGTCGACCGTGTATAAACACCTCTTTCCTCGATTCAGGCATTCGTTTCAACAATATCCTCATAATCAACCAATACCAATGCAAGAACACTCTCACACAATATCACAATAAGTAATCGCATGACCCCCGCTAGATCTGTATCTGAGCTGACCCTTTGTCAGATACAGCGCAAATTGTCTCAAAGACTCGAGCCGATAACCTCCTTTGCGAAATGTCGGGCACCAATCCTCCTCCAAACTCGCCAGATGGCAGTCCACCGCCGTCGCCCCCATACACCAAGAATTAGCGACAATCTTGGTTGTCAACACAAACCCACTTTCAGTCTGTCGAGCTCCGTGTTCAAGTCTCTGCGGCAGGTTGCGAAAATCGGTTCGGCTGGGCCAGACATCTTTCGGAGGCTGAGGGTCAATCAGAGGACACGGCAAGAGGCTGATGGGGTCATGGTGTACGGTGGATTTCTGCAAGTCTGCCAATAGCTTGCGTAGTTGTGTTGGACTTTAGAGCGTACTAGGGACAGGTCGTTGTGGAATGGCGATGAATCGAGAAACTCGTGGGCTGGAATATGTACAACAGTCCCGGTAGCAATCGGCCAAAATTAAACATTAAATTCGAAGTATTCGAATATGTACTCCGAGAATGCGTTTCGTGAGCCCCGTGTCTGTCTTTCAACATATCTGCATGACAATTCGTTGCTCAAAGGTATCGTGGCCTCTGCCTACACGAGTCTACCTCAAGACTTGTGTCATTGTTTTGGTAAGAACCCAATACATTGAGCGAGCTCGACGATAAAACCAAAGTCCATCAAGCGATGAACAAGTTGAAAACAAGTCAAATGTGCCAAGGTATCACGTGAGCGAGGCGCCCATTCACCGGTTGACGCAGTTTGTCTCCAAGCGCTTGCCGGTCGAGACTGCGGCGATTATTCTGCTTCAGAACTTCGCGCCACTCTTTCCTACAACTGCCAGACTTCAACAACCCAACCTCGAAACATCCTAAGCCTTCTACACATAGCAGACTGAGCAGGAAACAATAAAAAATGGGTGGTCAAAGCAGAGAAGGTAGGTTCGAGCAAAGCACCGATCGATCTGATGAGCTTCCTGACATTTTCTTCTCAGGTGGTAAAGTCAAGCCACTGAAGGCCCCAAAGAAGGAGAAGAAGGACATGGATGAAGAGGACGTTGCATTCAAGGCCAAGCAAGCCGCAGGTACGAACGTCCCTTACATGGTTTTCCCTGAACAGCAGCTGAATCGTTTGCGCAGATGCAAAAGCCCGGAAAGAAATGGCCGACAAGGCAAAGGGAAAAGGGCCGCTGAACGCCGGCCAGCAAGGAATCAAGAAGAGTGGGAAGAAATAGATGGCGCGAGTGCATGGATTTCTTGTTTTGACGCCTACAACGATTTTATGATCCAGGAGCGAGGCGCAAGATGGGTTGAGCTCGTTGATTGACTAGAATGGTGGCCGGAAGTCAAATATGAAATTGACCAGGAAATACTCCATCGACCCCCTGCCCCGTGTATCTGCATTCATCCTGACAGGCGTGCGAAATGAACTGGCTAACTTCCATGTGTGACCTCTCCGTATCAAGGATGGATTTCGGTCCGTCCGGCCTTGCAGCTTACGGCAAAGCAGCGCGGACGGACCCTTTACAGTCCGCTGGGAGCCAGCATGGATCCAGTCCAGAGCAATTCTGCACCCTCAAAGAAGGAAGAGAGAGAATCGGGCGCTTGATCAAGTTCTGCATTGGCAATACCGCGGACAAAGACAATTGCTGCCATGCAAAGATGAGAGCGACAGGCTTGGCAGTATAGATTTGAATGTGTTTGCTAGACCGCCAACCAGACAGTCGTCACATTGACCGTCTCTAGTTGGACTACAGATCTCCTCAAAGCAGTTGTGGTTGATTGGCAGGCCTTGTTATTCGCCATCGGCTTTCTTTACCTCTCGCGATCTTTTCATCGCTCTTTCCATCCTTGCCCTCATCTCTTCCTTCATCGCAAGACTTTTACTACCTCCTTACTCTACCTTAGGCCTTAAGAAGCGCACCACACTATCAAATCTTCAACATCTCCACTCAAATATCTCTCACAATGGACGAGCCATCGGGCCAACCACCCGAACCACGCGAGGATCGTGGACCTCGCATTCCTCCTGCCAAACTCTCATCGTATGCGGATGTTGCTCATAAGGAAACTTGCTGGAGAACAGAGCTGTAGGACTGACACCCTCACGCATAGGATCAATCCCGAACCAACGATCTCCCTCTTCTTCAAACCAACCAAAGACTCCTCCCTGGTCCTCCTTGATGGCAAATTCTCTCGAGATGCCGCCATGATCTTCTGCGACCGCATTCGTCACGACCTGATGGACAACAACCGAAAATCCTTCACTATCGTTGGTGGTAGCTTGAACGGTCTCAAGGAGGTTTTGGCTTGGATCAATCAGTGCGTTGCCGAGCAGAACATCATCAAGTTCAAAGATGTGAGTCCCTTCGGTTTCTTCTCCAGCACCGAGACTGATACGCCCCTTAAGTTCGACGACAACGCACCCAACTTGTTCACTACCTACGCCAATGTCATCATCTCTGCTCACTACCTGGGTATTCCGCCGCGGGACCTCTCCGACCATATTGTCAAACGCATGTCCGCCGTTGCTCGGAAACAACTCATGAGTTGGGCTGAAGTCGAATGGTTCTACACGACCCCTCTACTTGCGACACTTCCCGATGAGAGAGAAAATTCTGTCCGTGGAGTTGCTGGTGCTTCCGTGTTCTGGGCGTGGTGGAATGGCAAGCTTGACGAGAACGAGACCCCTGAAGACATGATGATGTTGAGCGTTTTGAGGCAGGAGATCAGCCAGTTGGACAAGGATCTGCATGAGTGGTGTGAGAGAAACGAGGTTGAAGTGAGAAAGAAGTGGGAAGAGAAGGACAAACCCAAGAAGTCCGGGGTTCATACAAATGGCTATTGTGGCGAAAATGGTCATGCCCTGGACGGAGCCAGTGGAGGAGGGGATGGAGGTGGATGGGATGAACCAGCAACTGTGACTTCTGGAGGTACCAATGGCTGGGACACCTTCAGCACCGAAGGACCCCTTGGCCCGCCCAATTCAGTCGCAACCCAAGACTCCGGCGTCGACGTGGCATTTGGTGGTAAGAACAGTGCTGCTTTGCCTCCTCTACATGAGATGGATGGGATCAACGGGGCCGGTGACTGGGCTGAAGAGGTCAGCGAGATCACTCGGCTCAACAACCAGCAGTGGTAGGACCCTGGATACGGATCCGGAGAGGGTGGAGAAAGCAATAGCACCATGAGCGACCATGTCCAACTGCCTGTGTGAAGAGACAAGAGCAACGACCTGGATGGCTCAACCTTCAGCAAGAGGCGGGGGTTGGCTTTCTACTCCTGGCTAGTCAAGTGTCTGTTGGGGCAAGTTTGGGCGCTGGAACAAGAAAGAGGCTGATGCTTGTGACTCTGTTAGTTCCTGTACGACTGGGTTAGTCTAATGCGGGGTCCTCTACTAGATACCAAGAACGATAGCCCGGAGTGCCAGTGAGTGCCTAGCTGTGTTGGTTTACTAGAAGGCGACGATCATTTGTCACGAAATCACATGATACCAATGCAAAAAGGCTTTTTTCAAATGTTTTGTTTGTTGTCGTGTCTATGTGCCATTCAAACCGTTTCCGCTGTTTTCAACCATGTGAATGCGCGCTCTCCTCTCCTCGCCCCCACCCCCAAAGATTTGTGCAACTCCAAAAAAGTTATGTGTCTGTGTCCGAATTAAGAAAGAGATGATTAACTGCCATAGTCCCTAGTTTCAACCCAATTAGAGAAGGAAAAAGCCGAGTTCCCGTAAATGGCCCTGCGGCGCGACCCCTGTGGCAGCCTTCATCGCCATCGCCATCTATGCCAATGCCATGGATCGGAAAGATCCTCTCCCATGACGGAACATGAAGTCCGAAAGGCCTGCCCAAAAAGATAATTTGCAAGACCATACATGCCATGCCATTGCCATTCCCATCAACCACTGTCGCTTACGTGCTGATGTTCTCAAGGACGCTGTTGACGTCAGCGATGAGCTGGGTGAGCAGGTCCGAGAGGCTGATCAAGGTGCCGTTGGTGCTGTCAGCCGAGAGAAGAGTCTGGACGGTATCAAAGAGCTGTCCAAGGGAAGTGGCGAGGCTGTTGACAAGAGTCACGTCATCGCTGGTGACAACAGTGGTGGTCCCGAGGCCGGAGATGCTGTCAACAAGCCCAAGAAGAGTGTTGAGGGTGTTGGTCAGCGTCAGGGTGTACACGGTGCTGCCGATGGTCGCGCCAGTGTCGGTGGTCTTCTGGGTCTCAATGACCAGCTGCTCAACGGCGGCGGTGACGTTTGTAAGTGCGTCGAGGACGGGGTCCAGGACCAGCTCCAAGTTGGTGAGCAGGTTCGTAACAGTAGTGCCAACGTCTCCAAGGAGGTCGGTGAGGTCAAGTTGAGGAGCAGGAGCTCTTGCAGCAATGTCCTTAGCAGCCTCGACTGGCTGGAGGGCGGTGTTGGAAGAGGCTGAGCGTCGAGTTAGTAACTGCTCTTTGATAATTGGTCAAGGTTAGGTGGGAAACTCACCCTCCAGAGGAAGAGCCATGGTAGAGGCAGCCATGAGAAGGCCAGCGAAGACGGTAGAGCAGCGCATTTTGATGAGTTTGGTTTTGGTTGGGAGGGTTTGGGTTTGGGTTGAAGTGGTAGAGAAGAAATAGATTCTTGCACGAAAGACTGGAGTGAGGATGAGAAGAAATGAGCGACTGTTGTATTACTGTTTGTTGATGAGGATGAGAATGTACCTTGAAAGTCGAGGAGACCTAGATGTTTATATACACTGATTGACGTTCTTCGTATACGCCATGTTATGATCGAGATCTGTGGATGGATAGGGCACGACGTCGACGCGTCGGTCGTGCACGTTCATCCAAATTTCTTGCGATATCCAACATTGAGATTCGCACTAGTGGATCGACCTGGATTAGCTGTAGATCCTCGTGGTTTTGGTTAGTGTGAGAGGTGCGGCTTGATCTCTTGATCATCAGCCTCCCGAATCGAGACAGATTTTCATTGCACAATCCTTATCCGATTGAACTACCCGCGCCGGCGATTAAGTGTGGTGGATACCGTGCCGCCAGTTGCTAGGGGCTGGTCAAGATCAAAACAGGCGCACGGGCCAATGTTATCGGCTGTCGATTGGCTGTCGAGTGATCAACGACGAGGCTGAACCTTGCTAGTAATTGCCAGTTCCATCGAATCCGACGCGAGGGGCATTTGAAGGTGATCTTGACGGGACGTCAATATTGAACTTCTTTCGCGCTTAAGATTGCTTCAGCAAAGATTATAATGATGATCGCCTATTCCAAGCACCTGCTGCCGTGCACTGATAAACAAGCCTCTCCCAGCTCTTTCACTATTGAATTGAGTTGCTTCTTGGCAAAATCATGGAACGCGCATCTTTGCGGAGAGTGTGTCAGGAGAAACAAAACATGAGGAGCGGTTGTAATCCTCGACGGGCAATCAGATACACTATCGCGATTTCCCAGGAGGGTCATTGGCAGCACCGTCCAACGATGTCGGAGAATCGGAATCACCAACAGTACTGGATAAGAAGTCAAATCTCTCACAGCTGATTACCTCCGCTTCAGCTTTGGGTCCACGAGTGTCTGTTGTTTCAACTCGTCGATGGCCTTGACCAGATATGTAAGTGGCAGGTCTTCCGCGCGTGTCGATGGTGAAATGACTGAGACATCCACCAGCCTTCCGTTGCCGCGGGGCAGGCGGGAAGGCTCGACAGAGAGAGGGATCGGCTGAAAAAGATACGACTTATCGATGTTGAAGTGCCCGTCAACTAAAATTTCCCCTCTGCCATGTTTTATCATGAACATGTAGAAGTGTCGGATGACGGAGGACCCGGGATTTGAAGCGCCATCTCACAACTTGCTACATCCAGAGTCTGTCTTGGAAGCAGTGGACTTGGGGCGCGAGACAAATGTTGACTCACATGAGATTCGGGAACAGAGAGGGGCAGGGAGGCAGCACTGACTCCTAATGGTGCAGGTTGTTGAGCACGATGACGGCACTCATTCCAAAGCATCGATATTGAAATGTTGAGAGTGACCAGAATCAAGGTAGGGAAAGAGGAGTGGCTGCGCTCTTTCCGCGACACTCGCTTTGAATTCTACCTGGGCAGTGGTTTCCCTCAAACTGCAACCGCAACCGCAACCGCAGGCAACACCATCTCTCAGCTCTTCCAGATTGCCACACTCACGCAATCTTCTTCTCTTCGACGTGTGGCATTAATCTTGACCTTGCCATGAGAGACTGAGCATTCACCCTCTCTTGATTCATCGCCAACCAAGACGTTCACTTGCGCCAAAATGGTCTCAGTTTCCCTCTCACTCTGGGTTGTACCTTTGCTCGTGCTTATGCACTTGTGCCTTTGCCTTGGTGACCTCAATACTCGTCAATCATGTGGCTCGGGATATCATCTCTGCTCACCTGACGGAAGTTCCACCAGGGATGTGCCCGAAATTGGTCCTGGATTGGCTAGGCTGTACCTCGATCTGATTCAAACGGTCAATCCTCAACCTGCGCCAGTCCACCTCGTGTCGTCCGGCGAGGGAACTGTTCCTGCGCATCGAGCGAGCGAAACTCCAGGGAATTTATGCTGTAAGGCCTATTTTGTGACAACAACAACCACCACCCAACATCACGAACTGACTCTGAGCAGGTGCTGAAACAACCCAGTGCCTTTTAGTGCTGAGCTATAACGTTCCATTGTGTTGGGTACTATTCTCGCCTCTTTTTTCCTGGCCCTGGCTCATGCTTGGTGTTTCCCTCTAGGACAGGTTCACAACGAACTATTACCTTCCTGATGGCTCTTATGGTTCGATTAGCACCGGAAACTATACCACTCCCAATGGCGACATTGCAAACCTGATCACAGGGAGCTATCGTCTGGCGGATGGGCAGACGGGAAATATCTATCAGGGAGACACGCTTGAGGAACCAAACACCTCCACGTTGCCGATGCCAACGCCATGGACCAGTAAAGGAGTTGGCTCAGCGATACCCGCCAGTGAGGTAGGAGCTCGGCCAACCACCAATTTCTCAAGCATGCCGCTGTTGCCCACCCACACAAGCGGCTCGACTGTCAGTGCCAGCAGTGACCTGGCCACAATGACGACACTCTTTGGGGAAAACGTGACTTTAAGTAGCACACCGCTGGCATCGATCCCAACCAGAACACCACAGCCCAGCATTACGCCTCCAATCACGAACAATGCCTTCGCGCAATCTCTTCGTAACTTGAAGCACCTGTGGCCGATGCTGATGACCTTTGTGGTGGTCACACAATTTGTATCACACGAATGAGCGAGACAAACGGCATCTGTATGACCCGTGGAAAGAAAAATCTGGAATCAAATCCTATCATGTGGACATGGATGGTCGGCAGGTACAAGTCGGGATGCTGGCTATGGGAGTCATTTGGACCTGGGGCACACATGGACGGACAAATAGTGGACAGAGCACAAAGGGGATCACAACCATTGCAATAATGTCAGAGGACAAAAAGTGTCGCACAGTAGCTGAACAGGAATATCTCTCTTTTGTGACTCGTGAGGTTTCACTTCGCCGTATATCAGTAGGTAATCTCTTCTTATCTGTGGCGAGATTATTGGGCCCTCTGTCCATTTATCCCACCTACTCCGTACTTGGGCTAAAAATCGCCGACTCGCGCATTTCTCATTATGCGCAACACCCCTCAGGCACCCCGTCCATCAGGCGGTTTGGTGGGGCAGGAGGACGGCATCATGAGGACCCTGCCCAGCTCCGCGACGGCAGTTTGTTGAATTTTGGTTGGTGCTATTCTCCTCCTCTACTTGTCCATGGTATCGCGGATGGTGTTCGAAGCTTGACCTCAACCAACTGCGGGCTTAACTGAAGTCCAGCTGTGCCTCCGCGACCTGTGCGCATCTTTAAACGGCTGCCAGGGGTCTGCAATGTGGTGTGACAGCCGCTCATTTGTTCTGCAGTCTGTGGTGCTTACCTGCCCAAGCCTAGTAGCCTGGCCAGCCCCCTCCAAACCGCCCGCTTCCACGGCTTTGCCCAAATAGTCATTTCTTGACGCTTAATCATCATCAACCACGCACTTCTCTCACCTCTTTGGTGCCTTCTCGCTCGAAGATCGCGCAGACGATCCCGGCATTCATTTCCAATCTCGAGTGTCTCGACTCCCTAACCGAAATCTATCCCTTCTCCTCCGCTTTCCATCACCACATGCTTCGCCGTTATCCTCAGCGCTGCAACTGAGGTTGTCGTCGTTGCTGTCGCCCTCCGTGGATATTGGCTGCCTCCACATCGAGAGCCTAGACCACTCAAGCCTGCAATATGACATGACCGCACTCGGCACGCTCTCAGCACGAGAAAATGGAAGAAATCTTGGGGGAGGACCTACCCATCGCGCCGGCCAGGCTCTTTGAACGTTTATCCCAAGTACCGAATTATACATGGGATCGCTCGGTATCTCTATCAATCGCACCGAAACACGAGGTGAATGCTGATTTTGGATTGCTTGCAGTTCGTGCCATTCCACACTAGCTACGATCACTGGTGAGTTTTCCTCGAGTGACTGATCTCCAGAAGTCGCATTCTGCGGATAATAACTAACGGGTGCTCGAAACAGGCATGTCTACGGTGTACTACATAATCCAGACGTTGTCAACCCGCGCGAGTCAATAAGTACCTTAAACAGCTATTCCGTCCCCTCCGGTTCGACCAGAAGTTCTCCTAAACTCGATCCTTACCGTCCCGCCCTCCGGCACCATCACTGGAGTAGCATTAGCGGTACTTCGACCGACAGCGAGAATCTGTCGTCCAAAGGCGACCCGGATCCAATATGGATGCCTGTTGTGGCGCGCATCAGCACGCATGTCTTGCGTCTAGAAAGAGAGTTCTATTATAACCAGGCGATCGTTAAGGATGCCGACCCGGAATGCGAACATACCGTGCGACCCCTTGAGATCTTCAAATTACCTACCACACCAGGTGATACCCGTCCCATAGTCGTCTGTGTATATGAAGCTCCGGGCAAAAACTATCTTCGGGAGGTTCTGGACATGGGACCAGCGTTCTATGGTCTCAACAACCACAGGATGAGTGTCGCCGATGGTACTCCCGGAGAGCGAATACCACTCCAGGCATTTCTAGATTTTGCCGTTGGCGCCGCGGAAACACTGGAGCTGTTGCACCACGGTGCCAATAGTGTCCATGGCGAGGTTCGCTCAGACACTTTTCACTGGAACCGCGAGACAGGCGCGGTCAAACTGGCCAATGTTGGAAATGGGCCTCGAGCGTTCGAAAATCTGCTGTCGAGTGAGGGGTGGGCCAACCTCAGCCGCGAGATTGGAGTCAAGAATAAACTACATTTTATTGCTCCCGAGCAGACTGGGAGGTTACCAGCCGAACCCGATAGTCGCACAGATATATATAGCCTGGGGGTTCTCTTCTGGACACTGCTCACTGGACAGCCCGCCTTTGATGCCGAGACCCCTATCGACATCGTCCAGCGTGTTCTTACACATCGCCTTCCCTTGGTCACCGCAATCCGCATGGATGTTCCTGACGCCATTGCTCATATCATTGCAAAAA